AAGGCTTAAGGAAGCCCTAATCTCAGCCCCTGCTCTAGCTCTTCCTGATCTGACTAAACTTTTCCAACTTCATGTGGCAGAAGTAAAAGGGATAGCAAAGAGAGTCCTTACTCAATATCTAGGACCCTGGAAGCAACCCGTGGCTTTTTCTTGTCCAAACGGCTTGATACAACTGCCGCTGGCTGGCCTACCTGTTTGCGTGCCATTGCTGCCACAGCTATCCTGGTGAAGGAGGCTACAAAGCTGACGTTTGGTCAAGAACTTCAAATTGTGGCCCCTCATGCAGTGGAAAACCTGTTAAAAAGTCCCCCTGATCCTTGGCTGTCGAATGCCAGGATAGTACAATATCAGGCCTTGCTTTTAAACCCCACCTGTGTCAAGTTTTTGCCTACTACAGCTCTAAACCCCACTACCCTCCTCCCAGATGAGGATCCTGAGCTGCCAGTACATGACTGCATGGACACTCTAAATGTCTCATCTAGCTTGAGGAGCGACCTGACTGATGTCCCCTTCCAAGATCCAGACATCACCCTCTATACTGATGGGAGCAGCTATGTCCAGGATGGAATCAGGTATGTGGGGGCGGCTGTGGTCACCAAAAAGGAAGTGATCTGGGCACAAGCCTTGGGTCATGGAACGTCAGCCTAGCAGGCTGAACTGATAGCACTGACCCAAGCCCTGTGATGGGGGAAAAACAGAAGACTAAACATCTACACTGATAGCAGATATGCCTTTGCCACCCTTCATGTACATGGGGCCATATATCAAGAAAGGGGACTCCTAACCATGGGAGGACAAAAGATTAAGAACATTCAAGAAATTTTAGACTTACTGGTTGCAGTCTGGTTGCCTCAACAAGTAGCGGTTATACAATGTTGAGGACATCAAAAAGATGACTCCCCAGTGGCCCAAGGAAATACCGTGGCAGACTCTACAGCCCGAGAAGTGGCAAGAAAACCAGTGGGCCACTAGAGATCCTGCCGGTTCTGCCATCCTGGATTCTAGACAAACCATCTTACTCAGATTCAGACCTGCAGCTGGCACAAAGTCTTCGGGCCTCCCCGACTTCTACTGGTTGGCAAAAATTGCCAGAGTCCTGGATCCTCCTCCCTGAAGCACTTGGCTGTGAACTGGTACATTTGCTTCACTACAGTACTCTCTTGGGAGGAAATAAATTGTCTGAACTGTTGAGAAAATCATACTTCATTCCAAAACTAAACCAGCTGGCCAAGGACATAAGTCACAGGTGCCCACAATGTGCTCAGGTAAATCCAAAAAGTAATCTACCA